CGACCAAGGCAAGCCCGTCGATCAACCGACCCGAAACTCCTGTAATTCTTCTTGGCTTCACATCGGTCGACGGGTGAGCTTGTGTCGGTCGACCGATAAGGGAATTTCTGTGCAGTTTGTGTTTTTTTATTTTAGGTTTGGTTCTTCACTCCCAAAACCAACAATCTCCCACTTGGAGACCAAACCGCCATCAACGAGCTCTCCCGAACTCCCGTCATCTTCGTAAGCATCTTCTCCTACCCGGAAAAATCCATTCTTCAATCAATATCATCTTGGCGATCCCGCCCTCTTAGTGTGGCTCCACCTTTATCTTCTACACATGAAGACCAACTAAAGTTATGCACAACTCCAGTTTGTCGATGGTCACTACTTTCGTTAACATGTCCGTAGGATTTTGATTCCCTAAAATCTTCTCTAACTGTTTCCCGTCCTCTATCAGCGAGTGTATGAAGTGGTAACGTACGTCGATGTGCTTTATTCTGGCATGATATATTAGATTCTTAGTAAGGTGTATAGCACTCTAGCTATCACAATAAAGAACGTCATTCCCCTGCTTCAAACCCAACTCTTCCAGGCACATGGTCAACCAAATTATCTCCTTGCTGGTTTCAGTCACTGCGACATACTCTGCCTCAGTCGTGGATAATGTTACTATCTTCTGCAAATGTGAGACCCAGTTCATACTGCTGTCAACACTAAGGTATAAACATACCATGTGGTACTTCACCTCGTATCATGATCACCGGCGAAATATGCATCTACGTATCTCTGCAGTATTAATTTCTTCCTTCTAAAACACAATGGTATATCTGTAGTCCCTCTCAAGTATCGCAATATCCACTTTATGGCCTCCTAATGCTGCTTTCCTGGATTGCTTGCAAACCTGCTCACAAACTCCCACTGCGTGGGCGATATCCAATCTCATGCAAACCATCGTGTACATAAGACTACTAATGGCTGATAAATATGGCACTCTACTCATGTGCTCCTTCTCTGCATATGTCTTGGGTGATTGCTCCTCAGATAACTTGAATTGACTTCTAAGGGGCATGCCGACGGGCTTGACATTCTCCATGTTGAATCTCTGAAGTACCTTATCGATGTATTCAGCCTGACTCAACTTCAACGTCCCTTCAACTTCATCTCGACCGATTCACATCCTAAGAATTTGCTTTGCTGCACCCAGATCCTTCATAGCAAGCTCCTTCACAAACTGCATCTTCAATTTGTTTATCTCCTCTAAACATGATCCTGCAACTAATATGTCATTAACATATAATAATAACATGGTATAGCTGGTATCGAACCTCTTGAAATAGCAACAATGATCTGAATTACATCTTTTATAGCCATTGCTCTGCATGAAGTTATCGAACTTCTTATACCACTGTCTCGGAGCCTGTTTCAAACCATACAAGATCTTCTTAAGCCTACACACCATCTCTTCCTTTCCTTCTTCTATAAAGCCAACATGTTACTTCATGTAGATTTTTTATCCAAGTCACCATGAAGAAAGACAGTCTTCACATCCATCTGTTTAAGGTAGAGATTTTCAGCAAGTACTAAGCTCAACACCACTCTGATGGTTGTAAGCTTCATGACGGGGAAAATATCTCTGTATAATCTACTCTTTTCCGCTGTTGGAACCCTTTCACAACTAATCTGGCCTTGTACCTCTCACTTCCATCACTCTCCTGCTTGACCCGATAGACCCATTTGTTATGTAAGACTTTCTTTTGTGTAGGTAGCTGGGCTAACTCCCAAGTCTCATTCGAGTGGAGACAATCCATCTCTTCTTGCATCGCCTGCTTCCATTGTTGAGATTTACTAACTTGCATAGCCTCCTCATAGCATTCTGGTTCACCACTATTTGTCAAAAGTAAATAGTCTATTGACGAAAGATATCTGGAAATCGGTTTGGGCACCTTGAATGACCTCCTAAGCTCCACGTCCTGGATAGTAGTCTCTGCACTTGGAGACTCCTCCGTTCTTCGGTCAGAACTAACACCATCTCCCCCATCTGGAAGTTCCTCCAAATCCATGTACTCGGATCCACCTGCATTTTTAGTACCGCTCGCACTGTTTTGGATATCCTTGGCATTGTTCATGTCCTTGTACATCACCTCGTCATTGAATATCATATCTCTACTCCTAATGAATTATTGTTCTTTTCATCTCAAAAAGACGATATTCGAACTCATCAATGTCATATCCAATGCATGTACACTTCTGTGACTTATCTTCTAGCTTGTCCCTGACATGATCACTGATATGAACATATGCCACATAACCAAATACTCGTAAATGTGAGAGATTAACCTTCTTGCCACTCCAAACCTCTTTTAAAATCTCAAAATCCAATGAAACTGATGACCCATGATTTATCAGATAAGCTATGCACCGTGTCTGCCCAAAACGTCTTAGGTAGACATGTATGTAAACGCATGCTCCTCGTACGCTCTGTCAATGTTCTGTTTATCCTCTCTGCAACGTCATTCTGTTGTGGTGTACCTGGAGTAGTCCTCTCTAAACGAATCTCGTTCAAGCCACAGAACTTCTTGAACTCCTCCAGCTTGTATTCTCCATCATTGTCCAATCTCAAACACTTCAGTTTTAGATCTGTCTCATTCTCTACCATGACTTTCCACTTCTTGAAGATCCCGAACACCTCTGACTTATGCTTCATGAAGTATACACACACCTTCCTCGAGTGATCGTCGATAAAGGTGACATGGTATGCCGAACCGCCAAGAGAAGATACGCTAGCTGGACCCCAGACATCTGTATGGATAAGCTCTAGCTTCTGAGCTTTAGGTGGTCTTCCACTCGTCTGAAAGCTAACCCTCATCTGCTTCCAGTAGATGCAATCCTCATAAACACCAACTTCAACTGAATCGATGCCAGTTAGTTTTTTCCTGTGAGTGTAGAATCTTCACACCCTTCTCACTCATTGTTCTAGCCTATTGTGCCACAGATCTGCACTCTCCTTGCCAGCTGTAACTGCGAGATGTCACTCACATGTGAAGTGAGGTAGAGAATTCCTGTTTTTATGCTGTGGGCAACCACCATAGTACCGTTGGAGATCTTCTACAAATCCCCGATGAATGTTAAAATATAGCCTTCCGCTCCAAGGTGGCTAACCGAAACAAGATTCATCTTCAGCTTCGGTACATGTCTGACGTTCTTCAGATTCCACTTAGAGCCCTTCATCTGAATTTGCACGTCACCTTTTCCAACAATACTGCAATGCTTGTTGTCCCCCAAGTATACTTTCCTAAAGTCCCCTGCTACATAGTTCTGAAGAAGCTTCCTATTAGCAGTAGCATGGAATGAGGCTCCCGAATCAATAGCCCATGAGTCAGAGTCGCTATAGCAAGGATCAAGATATCTTGCATGATATGAGCCTCCTGCTCATTCGCATCCTTCTTTGGCGCTTTGCAGGCTGAAAACATATGGCCCTCCTGGCTATAGTTCCAACACTTCTCTTTGATAGGCTTAACATTTGAGTTCGACCTCTTCTTATTGGACTTCGACCTATTCCTGTTCTGGTTATCCTTCTTCTGACTTTGCTCTCTCTGCTCGAGATTTAGGGCTGAATCTGAACCTTTTGATTTGGACGATTTTCTTCTAACCTTCTCGGATAGAATCATGATAACAACCTCGTTCAGATTCAACTTCTCCTTTCCCCACCGAGTTGCAAATTGCTATCACACAACCTGTCCAACTATCCGACAACTGCGATATAATTAATAGGGCCTGCACTTCATCATCAAACGTGATATCGACTGAGATAAGTTGATCAATGATCGTGTTGAACTCGCTGAAATGCAACGTGAAGGAGTATCCTTCTGCCATCTTGAGGTTGAAGAGTATCTTGACGAGATGCATGTTATTTGTGGCTGACGGTTGCTTGTACATCTTCGCGAGCGCTTCTATAAGCCCCAACGTCGTCTTCTCCTTTAATATATTATGGGTGTCTAATTTGGCGAGCGACAACCGAATCTGCCCTAGAGCCTTCCGATCCAGTATTTCCCTGTCCTCGTCTAATTCATCTTTCTTCTTTCCTTTAGCTTTTCCCATCAACGGATGGTAAAGATCCTTCTGGTATAGATAGTACTCCTTCTGTGACTTCCAGTAGACGAAGTCTGATCCGTCAAACTTCTCGATCTTTGATTTGTTTTCTTCTGCCATCTCTTTCAAAACACAAACTTTTGCCGAACGAAACTCTGATACCAGTTGTTGGGGTTGAACACACAACCCGTGCCCTTCCGGATATTGTGTCGAAAGTAGACAAGTGAGAAATCACAACAAATAAAAGAAAAACTTACAGGAAATAAAGAACAAAAGAAGAAAACACCAGATTTAACGAGGTTCGGCAAACGTGCCTACGTTCTCGGGAGCCACACCGGAAATTCTTGATTAATTAAAGAAGATTACAATGCTCGCAAATAGGCTTTTCTCTCAGTAAGATTTCTCTCTCAAAGTCCTCTCAAAAACCCTCTTTTTTGTATGTCATATAAACCCTAAAACATTCAAGATATATATAGTATCCCAGCCCAAAACAGTTTCCAACCCGAACTGGGAAATTGGAAAAACCGACATCGGTCGACCGGTTGATCACCATCGGTGGACTGATAGTAGCTTCGGTCGACCAGCCAGAACGTTTTACTACAGTTTGCTTCTCGTGCACATTATCGGTTGACCGGGGCAAGCCCGTCGGTCGACCGACCCGAAACTCCTGTAATTCTTCTTGACTTCACATCGGTCGATCGGCGGGCTTTTTCTTGACTTCACATCGGTCAACCAACGGGCTTGTGTCGGTCGACCGATAAGGGAATTTCTGTGCAGTTTTCGATTCCAGGTTTGGTTCTCCACCACCGAAATCAACAATTTTACCATATCACTGGCTCTATTAGTGGCTTAAAAGTAAGTAAGCATCGGTTTTTGGGTTTAGAAATGCGGATTGGTTGAAAAATAAAACAAGTTAAACCTTTGGATTTATAAAGAAAGTTCTCTTAAATAATGGCTAAATTAAGGAAGTGAGTTGAGCTTTCTTTTCCCCCGTTTGTCCTGATGATCCCAGGTTGTATACTTGAAGAAATCCCTTCAAACCGACCTCTGCTTAAAAAAATTCCCACTTCGTTTACTTCTTTCTGCAGCGTCATTGATTTGATCTGGCTTCATCATTAAGCCTCTTCTGTTAATTCAAGTATTGGGTTCCTCTAAAAATCTGATCTTTAGCTTAATTCAGCTGCAAATATTTGATTTTTCACCGAGAAGGAAATTCAAGAAGTGGGTTTTCTCTAAAAGTCTTCTTTTGATACGAAGGTGCGGGCGGGGTATTGTGAAATCTGAGGTTTGTAGTGATGATCCAATTGCTATTTCTGGTGCTTTTTGCCGAGGGGGCTGTAGCGTTCCTTCTAATGGTGAAGATTGGGCCATTGAGAGATCTGGCTATGAGAATGCTGGACCAGCTTAAGACTGGTAAAGGTCCAGCCACAGTGAAGACGCTGGCTTGCACAATGTCAGTGATCCTGTTATCGAGCATTGCGAGCATTGTTAAGATCCAGAATAGAGGGTTGAAGCTCGGGACTGTGACTCCAATGGATCAGGTTCTGTGGAGGACTCATCTTCTTGAGGCTTCTCTTATTGGTAATGCTCTTAATTTGATCTTTTGATTGGAAAAGCGTTTTCTTTTGTGCGGTAACTTGATGTAATCGAGTTTGCTGGAATCAGTAAGTAACAAAATTTAATTTGTAGGAATATTTTGCAAGAGAATTGGTATGGAATAGCATTAATATTTACGGTTGCAACTGGTTGAAATTCACGAGGATACAAGTTCTTTAGAAGATATAAGTGTACTGAAGAGGGTGGTCTTGATACAAGTGATTCGGCACCTCGACTATAATCTTGATAGTTGAGGTTTTTAACATTGAAAGAAGTGTTAACTTGTTGACATTTGGTATGATTGATTATCTTGAAATGTGTCATTTTAAGTAGTAAAATTTGAAATTGGTTGGGAAATGGTCTAGAATAGAGATGTGCATTTTCCCTATGTTTCTTGTGTAGTAGCGTTGCTATTTACTGTTCCGATTGAATGAAATTCATAAGGATATATTACTTTGGGATATATGTCGATTGACCAGTGTATTCTTGGTAGAAGAAAGGTGCTTTACAAGCTTTTCAGAACCTTGATCAGAAATTTTGATGGTTGTTATTTTCGAGAGTGAAAAGTGTTCTTTTTAATACTTGATATTTGGTATGATCGGCTCTCTTGAAATTAGTTTCAAGCAGAGAAGTTTTAAATTGGTGAGGAAATTGTCTAGAATAGGATATGCATTATTCTTATTGTTTGTAGTAAACTAAGAGCATTAGTATTTACTGTTGCTGTCGAATGAAATTTGCAAGGACATAAATAGTTTGGAAGATACGAGTCGTTTGAACAGCAAGTTTATGGTGGAAGAAAATGCTCTATAGTGTTACAGCACCTCAATCAAATTGCGGTAGTTCTTAGTTTTACCATTGGAAAAAGTGTTTTTTTGCTGATATTTGATGTGATTGATTATCCTTAAATCAGTTTTAAGTAGCAAAATTTTAAATCAGTTGGTTGTCTAAGATACATATATGCATTGTTCTAATATTTGGTACATAATAGCACTATTGGCTGTTTCCATCGAATGAAAGTTTATGTGAATATAAGTACCTAAGAAGATGCAACTTGATTAAAGAGGGTGGTCTCAGTGGAATAAAATGATCAACAAGTTATTTGGCACTTTAGAAATTTTGGCAGCTGTTATATTTAACATGTTTTACAGATACATTGGATGATTCTAACTTACTTCTTGTTAGGTTCAATAAAATTTTGAATATGGAAAGAAGAGCTTATACGGAAAAAGGCCTCATCAGATGGGGCATTGAAAGGCCTTATAAAACATTTAATATGGTGAATTTCCTGGTTTTTCCAAGTAGACAATGATTTCATAATATGCTAAAGGATACTTTCAACGTTTCAGTGAATCTTCGTTGGTTTCGAAGGGTATTATGTCTCCAATTCATTGTTAGCTTTATTCTTATGGGAGCATGCCACAACTTTGATTCATAGTAGAGGAAGCAACAGACAGAGACAATTTGCAATCTACGTATTCATGCGCATATTGTAGATTGGGTCGTGTTCTAATGTAAGCATGTTTGAGTTTTTATGCCTGATGGTGGATCGTATCATTGCTCTTCTTTCCACATCCAAAATTTCCTTGAATCATAGATCCTTGTGGATCTTATGATCTAGATTTGATTCTTAGGAGAAATTTTCAAAGTAGATCTGTTCACAATTTTATTCCCTAAAACCGACCCTTGCCAACTTATTTACAGAAGTCGACCCAGTTTTGGCCACTTCCACAATGCGGCTAAAAATTGGGTCGATTTAAAAAAACCCTCTTTCTAATTAGTTATGGTTGGCAAACCCAACTAATTAGAATGCAAGTCAAATTAGACGCGGTCGCCGACCGCGACTAATTTGAGCTACCTTTTAACTGGTCGGGGTTGGCAACTCCGACCAATTAGATAGCAGTTCAATATAGTCGGGGTCGTCACGAACTAAATTTGAACCCTACACCAAAATAGTCGAGGTTGCCAATCCCAACTATTTGGCAGAGACTTATGATCTATTGCTACAAGTCTTTTGGCTAAGTGTACACAATAGTCGGGGTTACCAACCCCGTCCATATGATAGACGCCACCTCCTTATTCTTCCCACTTTGACAATTTCCCTGTTACATCATGCGCAGTCCAAATCAAATTTTAATCATAAACACAAGCAACTCATACAACCACACATGATAAAACTAACCACCCATACAACCACACAGAGAAAACAAAGAACGTGTGCTTCAAAATTCAAACATATATCAACTCAATTCATAAATCGAAACAAACATATATTAACTTAATTTAGCAAATAGTAAGTACTACTTTCCTCTTCCTCTGCCTTTCCCTCCCTCTCCTTCCTTTTTCTCATCCCCGTTCCCCTTTAACATGAGCTTGTATGATCTCATCGTCTAGTTGTCAGTGAAGTTGTGAAGGCATGACATTATCCTTTACTTGAACCTGCTATGAATGTCCGGCTTTGTCATGTGCACGACTTGAGCATATCCATGTATGTCCCCGCAATCATTGACGCTCATACGTTAGAACTTATAAAAAAATGTATTCCTTACCTTTTGCTCGGTAGTCGATCTCAAGGCATCATATGCAATAGAAGCTGCCCCCATACAATATAACAATCGGAATGAAATATTTAGCAATATAATCATGGAAAAATAATAATCACAAAACAAACCTAGATTGTCTATCTACTTGCCAACGCGTTCTCAATTGGACCCCTCGACATGTACGCGAAAGGTGCCCTGTTCTCTCGATATATCCATCGGCGAGTAATCCCCCAATATCAACGTTTATTAATCACAGATACAGATACAAATAAGAATATGTCTCAATAAGGAAAACTCATACCCTTATCCTCTAAGGGCCTGTTCGTTTGCCTTAAAAAAATGAAATCAAAGAAATAGAAAACTATTTCTAAGAAAAATGGGTTTTTGAATTGTTTGGTTGGCTAAAAAAAAAGGAAATCAAAGAAATAGAAATGAGATGAGATGAGTTGTCACATTATTATTGGATGATGTGAGTGATTTTTTAAGAAAAATAGTTTTGATGTTGTTCGGTTGGCGAAAAAAAATAAGAAAATGAATTATAAGAAACCTATTTCCTGTAGTTTTGTTGTTTTCTTTTGTTTGGTTCATTCTTAAAAATAAGAAATGAAATGAGATGAGATGAGTTGTCATTGTATTATTGGGTGATGTGAAGAAAGATTAAGAAAAGTGTTTTCACAACTTTTTGGGATGAAAACAAAGAAATGAAATGTTAATGAGATGAGGTGAATTGTTATAATATTTTATTCGATGATGTGAGTGATTTGAAATGATGAAAAGAGATGAGTTGAGTGATGTTTGGATGAAAATAATATTTTATTAGATGTGATGGATGAGTTGTTAGATGAAAATAATATTTTATTAGATGTGGTGGATGAGTGGTTAGATGAAAATAATATTTTATTAGATGATGTGGATGAGTTGTTGGATGAAAATAATATTTTATTGGATGTTGTGGGTGAGTTTTAGGGATGGAAATGGAGGAAATAGTACTTTTTGAGATTTTTTTTGCTAATTTTTTCCAAAAACAGTCTATTTCGCTAATTTTTTTCCAAAAACGGTCTATTTTGCAAATTTGCCCATTTATTTAACAAAGGCGCTGGATTTTTGCAAATAAACCCTTGCTCACCCTGAATCGCTGACTATTCACGTTTTTTTTAGCTGAATGCGTACGCAGTTATGCGTACCTGAAATGCTCTCTCTCTCTCTCTCTCACTGCTAAATAATGAGGTATCCTAGACGGAAAATTCCGTCTAGGATACCAAGAATTCCGTCTAGAATGTTTATTCTAGACGGAATTCCGTCTAGAATACACGTCTAGTATGTTTCCGTCTAGGATGTAGTATTCTAGACGGAAATTCCGTCTAGAATATAACCTAGACGGAATATTCTAGACGGAAATAAAAACCGTCTAGAATACATCCTAGACGGATTATTCTAGACGGTGAGTTTTAGGGATGGAAATGGAAGAAATGGATTATTTTGAGATTTCCACCTTTTCCATTTCCATTTATTGGTTTTTAGGAAATAAACGAATAGGCCCTAAAAGTGATTATAGATATGGATATACATGCAGATGTATATGCAAATATACATATGGATACAAAACAGATATGAGAAAACCATATAAGATTTAAAGAAAAATATAGTTCATGTAATGCAAGAGAGTTCATTAATATGTTCGTTATATCATAAAACTAAGATTAGATTTCTTAATCATCAAAATTAACCTCAAATCTAAGGATTAAAAAAATTGCAACTATATGATCAATGAATATTATGATATTTCAGATATTGATTCAGATATTTCACTACATATTCATGTTTGTAAGCATATCCAATTGGATATAGATATTTGATGACTATATTTCTATCCTAATAAGCACGAACACGGACATATCAGCGGATACATTTTTTTTGCACCTCTTGTTCATGCTTTTGTTACTATCTATTTTTAAAGTTATAGAGAAAAGATGAAAAGATGAAAGAAAATGTGATATAGATACAGTGGTGGAGCCACATTGGTGCCAAAGGGCCTTAAAAGCCCCACCTTGGAATGATTAAAAAAACAAGTATGTATGGTTATTTGTTAATAGTAATTTCATATCTAAGGAGTAAAATACATAAGATATCTCAATTTTCTGAAACTTAATTTTTTCTATTCCTCTCTGTATCAAGTTGAATTATTCAATACGTCCTAGATAATTGTAATCTGGAGTCGCTTTTGTGTGACATGACTTAAACCAAATAACTCATTCTCTTCATTTAATTAAAAAAAATTGATTCGGTTGGCCAAGTTTTATCCTAAAGTTTTTTCAAAAGAGCTCGCACTGTTAGGAATTTAACCGCCTAAATCCCTAATGCAACAGAAACGTAGTATAGAAAAAGTACACCAAGATTGCAACAGAAACGTAGTATAGAAAAAGTACACCAAGATTTAACGAGGTT